TCCACTCAATCTTGTTACCTTTATAATTAAGACTTCCTCAAAAAAAATTCTTGTTACTCACCATCTTCATATTCTCTCTCTTCAACACTATTTTTCCAGCATTACCAACTTAGGTATGTAACTTATATTCTCTATTATCAATGTCTGTACTTCTTAAGCATTGATGACTAAAAGAAACTTTGTTTTTTTAGAATTGGTTAGTGGGGTTGTTAGTTTCTTGGGGTATTATTGCTGATAACACAATGTGTGTATCATCAATAAGTTTTTCTTGCTGTTTTATTACTGTTCTTTTTCAAGATTTCAGTTTTAGGACCCAAGTTGAACTCAAGTTACTAAGTATCTTTTTTTGGTCCTTGTGGTGTTGTGATCTTTGCAGTATGTGCATAAACTGCTATTGAGCTACTGATGTTAGAATCATCATGTTATCCAACTTTAGAACTAAAGCACAGCCAAGTATCTGTTTGTAGTCTTTGTTTGTTGTTTCTTTTGTCTGCCCTATGAATGTATGCAAACTATATCAGATTGTAACAAAAGCTAATCTAAGATCTAGACTCAGTGAGTTAGAATGGGTGTGCTTTTCTTATATGTATACATTTAAAATTTTTGAAGTGAGCCTTGACGTAACTGGTAAAGTTGCTGCTATGTGACTAGGAGTTCATGGGTTCGAGCCGTGGAAACAGCGCCTTGCAGAAATGCAGGGTAAGGCTGCGTACAACAGACCTTTGTGGTCCGGCCCTTCCCGGACCCTGCACATAGCGGGAACTTAGTGCACCGAGCTGCCCTTTATACATTTTAAATTTTCTGCGAGCCAAAAGCTAGGGGCAGAAACCGCCCAAGATCGGTCTCTAATTATACAATGGAGAATAACTCTAAAGGTGGCAAAAGCATTTGAATTATGGAAAATACAATATTTTTTCCCTGAAATTATCGCCCATAACAGAAAACTACAAAGGACAGGTTTTTCTTTTTCCAAAACTAGACTGCATCCTTTACTGAGATTAAAAGTGCAGTGTGATATGATTATGATTACTTATTAATTCTTGATTCTCAGAAGATATTAGCATACTGGCTGAGCTGCATCGTTCATTAGTCATAACTTCATTGAAATTTATAGTTTATCCATGAATGGCATGATAATAAGACGACTTAAAAAGTAAAATCCTGTTATTTAGTTTATCTGATGAGGATATACTTAGTTTGATAGGATTTTAAACTCCTAATTTGGTGCTAAAGTTCCTTGTGTTGTTATTTGAACATTTCAGTTGGTTAGGTGAAGATGGCTCAGATCTTGGCTCCATCTGCACAATGGCAGATGAGAATGACAAAGAGCTCAACAGATGCTAATCCCTTGACTTCAAAGATGTGGAGTTCTGTGGTGTTGAAGCAGAATAAAAGACTTGCTGTTAAAAGCTCCGCCAAATTTAGAGTCTTTGCTCTCCAATCTGATAGTGGCACTGTGAACAGAGTGGAACAGCTGCTAAACTTGGATGTAACTCCGTACACTGACAAGATCATTGCTGAATATATTTGGTATAGTATTCTTTGCTATACACATTCTCATACTGTTTATTCAACATTTCACTTGGATGTTTATTACTCTAAAAACTCAGAAAACAACATAAAACTCAAAAGTAGGAATTTATAGGTTGTGACTGTTATCTTTTCACCTTCGTTGTCTACAGCTAGTTCTTTGTGGACAGACTGACCTTATTTCATTCCATTCAAAACAGGATTGGAGGGTCTGGAATTGACATGCGCAGTAAATCAAGGGTACATACTGCTGCTTCTCTACTTAACCAAAGAAAATTTGAGAAACTGAATTTGGATTTTGTCACGAATCGTCTCTTAATTGCATGCTTTTGAATTTTCAGACTATTTCAAAGCCAGTCAAGCATGCTTCTGAACTTCCAAAGTGGAACTACGATGGATCAAGTACTGGACAAGCACCTGGAGAAGACAGTGAAGTCATTCTATAGTAAGATCAGCAAATGAATTTTTTATTCTTTTTGAACATTTTTCCTTTCTTACACTCTTCCTTTTGTTTTTTTTTCTTTCAAAAGTTAACCTCATATCATTTTACATCAGCCCTCAGGCAATATTTAAAGATCCTTTCCGCGGTGGCAACAACATCTTGGTGAGTTTGTTAGTTAACAAAACTGATTCATGATGTTTTACTGAATGTTTGATCTCATTGTTTTGAAGTTTGGTGCTATTTGTTATGTAAATTGAAACAGGTTATCTGTGATGCCTACACACCAGCTGGAGAACCAATTCCAACAAACAAACGCCATAAAGCTGCTCAGATTTTTAGCGACTCAAAAGTTGTATCTGAAGTTCCATGGTAACTTTAAATTCATCTGCCTCACTTCACTGGTTTTATGTACCGTTTAATATTTTTTCTTCTGCATTATTTTGGGGGCGTCCCTAGAACCAAGAGAATACCAACTATTCCCTTTGAACAAACCAACAAAATTAATATTGCTTATAGTTCACTAATTGAGTAAAACCTCATTCACAAACATCCTAGAAAATGAATTTACTGAGACATTGTGTTTCCTTGTGCATAAATGCTAAGCAATATTCAAAATCTGCTTCTTAACTCTTTTAACTGTGTCGAAAAGAAAACTCTTTTAAATGATGGATGGTGAAAATGAAACAATCATTTCTTGATGTTAATGCAAATCATTTTTTCTCTCACTGAAAATGGGATCAAAAGAGTATATGCTGTTATATGGTGTCATGTTGCTTTCCAGTTTTTGAATTTTATCGTGACATTGCTAATGTTGTCTAGCAATTGTTGTTGACTAGGTTTGGAATAGAGCAAGAGTACACCTTACTCCAGCAAAATGTAAAGTGGCCCTTAGGTTGGCCTGTTGGAGGCTACCCCGGACCTCAGGTAATGGTTGTTTTGCACAAAAGAATGATCAACAGCTCAATAGTCATCCAGCAAAAGTGCAGCCCAGATGTTGCTGTAAATTAGTTCAATTTATCTGTCCGATAACCATTTTATCTTCATGGAAACTTTAGGGTCCTTACTACTGTGGTGCTGGAGCGGATAAATCATTTGGCCGTGATATATCAGATGCTCACTACAAGGCTTGCCTGTATGCTGGAATTAACATTAGTGGTACTAACGGAGAGGTTATGCCAGGACAGGTACCATATTCGTCACATCTCTTGTCTAATACAATAACATCACTGTCACTTATAGTCCTCTAATTGGAGGATTAACTAAATTTTTTGTGGCAGTGGGAATTTCAAGTAGGTCCTAGTGTGGGAATTGAAGCGGGAGATCACATCTGGTGTGCTAGATACATCCTTGAGGTAATTTTCTTCCTTTGACTGTTGAAATGGTTTATCTCCTACCATTATTAACTGAACTGAGAAATCAGATTTACCAATTCTGTTTTTTGTTCGTTGATCTAACAGAGAATTACTGAACAAGCAGGAGTTGTTCTCTCACTTGATCCAAAACCAATTGAGGTGATCTAAATTTTTTTGATAATTTTTTTTTTCTTCAAATTAAGTTTAGTTATAAAACTCCATATTTTTCTTTACTGGTCTGGTATTTACAGGGTGACTGGAATGGTGCCGGATGCCACACTAACTACAGGTAGTTCCTTTTTTCAAGAGAGAAACTGGCAAATCTTGAAAATAAAATCTGGGATATGAATCCTTTAAAATACTGAAATGGGAATGACATAAGTCACTTGCTCAACATGTAGAAGTCGTTACAGCTACAAATTAGTTGCAAGTGACTTTTACGACACTCATCATTTTGCTTCATGATTTTTCTTTCCACAAGTTCCTGGTTTCTGTTTAACNCACTTACTACATTTTCATGGTTTACTATTTGCAGTACACTGAGCATGAGAGAAGAGGGAGGATTTGAAGTAATAAAGAAAGCGATTCTGAATCTCTCCCTTCGCCACAAGGAGCATATAAGTGCTTATGGAGAAGGAAATGAGAGAAGGTTGACTGGAAAGCATGAAACTGCAAGCATTGACAAATTTTCATGGGTATGCCTGCTGCTGATCTTTCCTTCACTTAGACATAAATAGGCCGTACCAATTGTCCTCATTCCTGTATGATTTTCTAAATTTGCAGGGAGTTGCTAACCGTGGTGCCTCAATCCGTGTGGGGCGTGACACTGAGAAGCAAGGCAAAGGTAAGTTTCTGCTTTATTAGAGGAGTAACATTAATATATTCCTTTTGTTTTCTGTGCGAAGAATGGAAAATTAGATTATTTTTGTGGACCACTTTTATCAACATACATCTATCATACAAAGAAAGGTAAAATACTGGATCTCAAAAAAAAAAAAAGATGATTTACTCTATTCTGAACAGCTATGCCCGAGCCATGTATCAATGTTTCTTAGTGCCTTTTAATCAACTGTAAACTATTTAGCTATACGCTTACTTAGGCTGGTATTGATGGTCTTTCTGATGCTGTTTGTTACTCTTTTTTGTTTATGGGATTGGTGGATGCAGGTTATTTGGAAGACCGCCGCCCAGCTTCAAACATGGACCCCTATGTTGTGACCGGATTACTTGCCGAAACTACTATACTGTGGGAGCCAACCCTTGAGGCTGAAGCTCTTGCTGCTCAAAAGCTCGCATTGAATGTTTAAAGTATTTAAGGGAAAATTGATTCATAATAATCTTCTTAGAGTTCTGAGCTGCTAAGTGAAGAAACTTGTACCTTGTTTAGATTCCCTTTTAGGGAAAATCTTGTAAAGGAACCACAATTTGTCAGTTACTCCTACAAAAGAGGTTCCTTAAGACAATGAGATTGCTTTGGAGTTGAGGTGTAGTTGTTGGACTACTTTGAATATCTTTACCTTTCTTTTCTCCAGATGAATCGATTACTCTGGCTTTCCAATTGGTGTGATCTTGCAGAATTGATCTTTGAACACAAGAATCAAAAGATTGAACATATTTATAGTAGTCAAGAAAAATGGACATTCTTTTTCCTTACTCCATCTAAAACTGGAGGGAAGAATTAGGAGCCTTGTTCTAATTAATCAATCATGTACACTTCAGTTACAAACTAATTTTATCAGTTATATGAATTATCTAATATCCTCTGTATCTGTTATGGCTCTTCTGAGAATTCATCATAATGGACTATTGCAATGTTGGTCATCGGTCTGTCACAAAACCTCCTCCTTTATCTTAGGTTGCTTTTCAAGATAGACATATTTATGTTACATCGCTCGGATATCTGTGTCCAGAATGCCATTTTCCAGAACTTTGTGTTTGTTAGATGCATGTTTATGTTGAACTTTGATTTGTTTGCATGTTTTCATCATATGGTCTTATCCACTTCATGATCATTTTACAGGTAATGAAGAGTCCAGTTGAGAAAAAGATGCATAACTGCATTTACAAGTTTGTATTTTCTTTAGAATATATAATAAAGTACCTTTTACATCTGTGAAGCCAAAGTGATTCCTTTCCTCTATACAAGGATGCAACTGAAAATTAGTCCAAGATATTCTTGTCATTTCTTTGGCTTTAAGACAATTTTTTAAAGAAAAAGGAGGAAAAAAGCAACAACCTGTCAATGTTGTCTAGATAAAGAATGGAACAATCATGGCTTTATATACATATGCATTCTGTATTTGAAATCACAAAAGTGAGTGATTCAATAAAATTTCCCTTCTTTGCTTCTGTCAAAGCTTAACTTGTCAGGTCATGGCTTCAGGAGCAGGAAAATCAGCAGCATTTATGCTTTTGATCCTTAATCTCTTGCTTTACTTCATTGTTATTGTAATTGCTTCTTGGGCTGTCAATCATGCCATAGTAAGATCCAAAGAAACAGGTAATTCGTCCATCTAAGAGCACCGTCCTGTCAAGACAGAATAAATATTTTTTTCTTGAATATAAATATGGCGTCGATGATTTTAACGTGTGACAAAAAATATTTGCAGCATCAACTCTGCCAATCCCAGCTAGGATCTTTCCTATATTTTTTCCTTTTGGGAACATGGCAACTGGTTTTCTCATCATATTTTCACTTATTGCTGGAATGGTTGGCTTCATCACCTCACTTACTGGAATTCAGAATGTGATACAATGGAATGCTCCCAATTTACATGCAGCTGCTTTCTCTTCTCTCACTACTTGGTTACTCACATTACTTGCCATGGGGTAAATTATTACCACTTACCACTAATGTTTAATTATATGTTTTGCGTGAGGCATGTCACATTTATAATTTTTTTATAATTACATATGATATAGAAATTTCATAGTACTGCAACTTTTGCGGGTGGTGATTCTATTTTTCTTTTTTCTTTTTGGGTTGCAGGTTGGCCTGTAAGGAGATTGATATGGGGTGGACTGACTCAAACTTGGTAAGTTTCCACTTTTTGAGTCATAATAAACAGAAACGGGATATCTCGTACTCTGAGCTGTTTTTAAAAAAAAAAAAAACAGAAGCGGTTCCAATATTTTTGTGTTAGCAAGTTCGACCATGCTTACTAGTTTTAGCTTGGATAATATGTGTTATGTGTATATACAAAGTGACTTAAAACATATAAATAAAGCAAATCTATTTTGTATCTATTGCTTCTAAATTCTAGATTCACTTTTGAAGGTGAATAGGAAAAGTTATTTGCTATATAAAGTGATAAGTTTCTTAATTACAATTTTTGCAGAGGACCTTGGAGGTAATATTGATAATATTGAGTGGGACACAAATGTTCTGCACTGGTGCTATTCATGCTGGAATTGGAGATGTTGCTACTCGAGACCTTTAAGCATAGGAAGAGTTTGAAAAGTTTCACAATTTATTTATATAAAAAAATATATATTATTTTTTCTTTCCCTCTCATTTACGCACCTTTAAGTTTTAATGTGTATGTAATATTTCATATGGACTTTGTAAAGATGTGTATGCCGTCTTTGTCTTGAGCAGATTGAAGAAAGAGTCGTTTGATTTGTTTCTTGGTCTTTTATTGATTTGTAAAAGTGAATTGAATTTTTTTTAATTTTTTTGCTTTTCACCCAATTCTAATGTTCACTTTGAGGCTTTATTGAATATGAATTCGTGCCGTTAAATTATGTGATTTTGTACTCTTGCAAGTAACACTAAGTTATGTGATTATTTGATTAATATTACATGTCTCGCGATAAATATAGCAATTAAGTGTACCATCATTTGCCACCCCCAACCCAAAGAGAAAGAAAAAAGAAAGAGAAATGTCAGGAATATGCAAAACTTGAAAATGCTAAAAAGATGGATGTCAAAACCAAGTAGTAAATTCAATATAGGGAACTAGAATGGCATGAATTTTTTTTTTTTTTTGGGGGGGGGGGGGGGGTAAACATGAATTGTCAAATAACAGAAGCATTACAATATTTAGGCCAACAACAACGAAAACTAGCAAAATTTACCACACACTAGTAGATAGTTTGAACATAAAAACAAACACTTTAATAACCTAGATATTTAATCATGAGATCATACTATATTTTAAATTAAAAGCTATATGTTCAGAAATGAGATTCATTTAGATTGATGAGTGAACCTTGTTCAGTTAATGAGCTGCATAAATGTCATTCTGTTGATTATAGATTGAGAGTTCGAATTACCAATGATAAATGAAAAGCTACAACTAAGATATGAAGTAAAAAAGAAAAGGGTAAATTATCCAAATACACAAGGATTTAAGATTTTCTAATATATACTCGTCGTCCTTTTGGTCCATGAAAGCTCTCGTTATTATTATTCGTTTCAAAGATATCTCTTTTGTTAATATTTTTCGATCGTGAAAAAAATTTAATACGATTTTATCATACAGTAAAGGTCATGTAAGAGTATATTTGGATATTTTAAATTATCTAGGGGTATATTTTAAATTATTATAGAAGGTTTACAAAAACTAATTTGTTAGTTATGAACTAAATATGAATATTTTATTGTGGTTTTGTTGTAACACATGCCAGATCTAAGTTGAATGTTATAAATATATTATATTATGGATGTTCATTGAGTACTCCGTTGTAAATAAGCTTCCTGAAAAAGCTTATCTATATGAGACTCCACCGTAAATATGTTTATCTATTTAGTACTCTATTGGAAATAAACCTCCTGAAGAAGCTTATCCTTTCGGTACCCCGTTATGGATAAACATCACCCTCGGTAGAAGATTATCTATATCTGGTACAATGAGTTTATTCTTTCGGTACTCCGTTATGGATTAATATTACCCCGGTAGAAGATTATCTATATCTGGTACAATAGCAGCTTACACATCAGTTTGCTTTCTTCTATAAATAGAGGAGATTTCAGTTCATTATGTACATAAGTTTGAAGTTTGAATAATATAGCAGTTTCTCTCTATACTTGTTTTTACTTTACAGTCTTTATTTTATAACACATTATCAGCACGAGACTCTTCCATCTCGATCAAATACTTTGAAAGTATCAGATGTACGAACTTTCTTTTTCTAAATAATGTCAAATCTTTCTAAACTTGAATTTGTAGCCCTAAATATATCGGGCAAAAGCTACATGTCTTGGGTGCTTGATGCTGAAATTCATCTTGATGCGATGGGTCTGGTAGACACCATCAAGGACAAAAATCAAGCATCAAACCAAGACTGTGGCCGCGCACGTCCTTCCGAGAAAAAATATTTCAGGGCTAAAATTATAATTTCGGAGGCGACTTCCCTTGACCTATATGAAGCCCAGCTCGTCCAAAAAGAGGGTATCTTGATTTTTAGAAGAACTTTGAAGTCAAGAACAGGCAAGGAGCAAGACGGAAGATTCGGAAACGAGTTTTTATCTTTTTTCTTTCCTTTTTTTCTAGTATTGGTGATGAATTCTTATATTGTGGTTATGAAAATAATTATGAGTAGCTTAACTTCGTATTCTAGGGTGTGATGGAACCTCTTGGAGGATGAATTTTTGTTGCGTTTAATATAAATTTGGTATTGGATTTTCTCTACTTGTTCATCTACGTGATTATTGTGGTTGATTGAAGGGCCCTCAATCGGTTATGCCTATTTAGTATGTATTACTTGAAAAATGGTACATATTTAGGTAGTTGTTGAACAACATCACTCCTAACGTATTTGAGGAATTAATACAGAGGGTTTAAAGGTGGATTAGGAATAACAAAACCTTGGTGCGATCTTAGTGAGCGGTAAACTAGTGCTAACTAGCGTAGTTCGGAAGAATACGTGTAGTAAATTGTTGTATTTGCTCGGAAGAGAATTACGATATCTAAAGTATTCATGATCAATAGAGAGTATCTAGGCAAATTTATAAGAGACGTAGCAGAGAGGATTCCGATAAGAGGAGAAATCATAACCCTAGGCCTTTCCAATCTTGTCTACAACATTTGCTTTGTTAGTAATAAAATTACAGCTTTTTAATTATCTTGTTGTTAGTTGGTAAACACTCCACTTATTATTCAGTATTTTTAGAAGTTGATTACTTGAATTCTAGTGAAACTAGCAGTTGTGATTAATATGTTAATTCCATGTGGGATTCAACTCCGCACTTGTAAACCAGATTATATTTGTAATGATCGCTTAGTCCTTTTTATAAGGCATAGTTGGGAGTGATCAAAGCCCAACTATGCCTTATAAAAAGGACTAAGCGGTCGTTGCAAATATAATCCGGTTTACAAGTCCAGAGTCGAATCCCACAGGGAATTAACGTATTAATCACAACTGCTAGTTTCACTAGAATTCAAGTAATCAACTTCTAAAAATATTAAATAATGAGTGGAGTGTTTACCAACTATGGATACGTCCACACTCTTCTTTTAAAACCATGCAAACATGGTTAAAATGTTCCGGGCAGTTCGCATAAAATTCCCGCACAACCATTAAATTGGCTTCATGACGTTCTTCAAACAATATCCCCAGCCCTTGCCGGATCAATTCACGATACATATTGGGGAAGCTATTTTGGAGGGATCCCATATCATTTCCCCTCTCCGGTATGGGTTTCTTGGATGCCTTATTACAGAAACGTTCCTGGGCCTCACTAGATACGAACTTGTTAGCATCAAACTGGCGAGCATTGGCAGAAGATCGCGGCCGGGATGAGCCAGCGTGACCACTAGAGGAGGCACTTGTGGTTCTTAGTTTCTTGGATGGTATCATAATACCTGAAACAACTACCAATATTAGCTAAAGGCACGATGTGTGAACCAATAGCGGCTACTCAGACTTCACCAGCACACTTGGTCACAAAACTACATTCTCAAACTCATTGTGACATTTATACAAACACTTATAGTGCACAGTTCACCTGAAACCCCAAACAACAATTTTATAACCCCAATTCAAAGAAAGATATACCAATGTCACACCTAACCCGTCATGGTGAAATTCGACTATTACCCCAACACACGAACAAGTACAACTAGAGAGAAAGAACTAACAAAAATCTACTACAATTCAAGAAAAAGAAAAGAAAGTAAACTAAATTAAGAAGGGGAAAAACACATGTCACTTACCTGAGGAAAACTTGTGAGGATTTGGGTTGGGGAGAAGATAAAGGAACGCAGAATAGAAGAGATGAGAGAAGGGGGTAGGGTTTTATTTATTGGGGGTGTTTAGGAAGGGGGAGTTCCAATTTAGGCTAAGTCGAAGGGGGGTCGGGATTTAGGTTAATTAGAAGGTGGAGGGGTCGGAAATTCTAAAGAGAAAAAGAAGAAAGAAAAGAAAAAAATAAAAATAAATAAATAAATAACATACAAACCGGGTGCCCAGTGCGCGATCGATGCGCGGCCGCGCACGTGTGACAGTAAGAGTCCGAAAATGCGCGGCCAGATTTTTTTTTCTTTTGCCACTTTTGGCCTTTGTTATGATTTCTTCACCCCGAGTCGTTCCAATCCGCACAATTTCATCCCTGCAACATTGATAAACATGTCAATACTTCCCCAATTCAAAATCAAACACAAAAAATAAAGAAAAACACAAAAAATCGGGTTGCCTACCAAGAAGCTCTTGATTTAACGTCGCAGTACGATGAATTACAACAAATCCATGGGTTGCCTCCTAAGAAGCGCCTGATTTAACGTCGCGGCACGACTCGGGATATCCATTATCAAGGATATTTCATTTACAAGGTCGAGATCACTTTATATTTCTCAACCATGCCCTGATAATATTTTAGTCTTTGCCCATTAACTTTGAACTTGCGAACACCATATTCCGATGTAATCTCGACGGCTCCAGTTGAATGCATCTCTACCATAAGAAATGGTCCTGACCATCTTGACTTCAACTTGCCCGGAAACAACTTCAATCTTGAATTGTATAGCAATACCATATCTCCAGGTTTAAAACTCCGCTCAAGAATATTTTTGTCATGCATCATCTTCATTCTCTCCTTGTATAGTCTTGTGCTCTCAAAAGCATGGTAGCGAAACTCATCAAGCTCGTGCAACTCTGTGATTCTATTTGTACCTGCATCTCTATATCGAGATTCAACTACCTCAATGCTTACAAAGCTTTATGCTCCAACTCCACTGGTAAATGACACGCCTTCCCAAATACCAATTTATACGGCGACATGCCAATCGGAGTTTTGAAAGCGGTACGATAGGCCCAAAGTACATCATCTAACTTTCTCGCCAAATCCGTTCTTATAGCATTCACGGTCTTTGTCAAAACGCTCTTTATCTCTCTGTTCGAAACTTTCACTTGCCCTCTCGTTTGAGGGTGATATGGGGTGGCGACCTTGTGGCACACACCAAATTTTTCTAACAACTTTGCGAAGGCGCGGTTGCAGAAGTGAGTGCCTCCATCACTGATTATTGCCCTTGGAGTGTCAAATCGGGTGAATATATTCTTTCTCAAAAAACCAATGACCCTCTTTGCATCATTTGTAGGGAGCGCTGCAGCCGCCACCCATTTTGACACATAGTCCACAGCTACGAGTATGTACTTGTTGCTGTATGAGCTGACAAAAGGCCCCATGAAATCGATTTCCCATACATCAAACACTTCTACCTCCTGAATTGGGTTTATATGCATCT